TTCCACCTTCGGATCACGAAAGGCCCGAAAGCCAATCTATATCCTCAGGTTTAAGAAAATTGAACAGGGGCAGATGTTGTACCCCAAAATTTGCCCTCCTATATTTCTCAAGACATTGCAAGAATAATCTCCAAGTGGCTCAAGATTGCTCAAGAGTTGGACAGTCAAATCATCTCCTAAGGCAGTCAATCTCAAACTAGGGTTTTGTGTTGCATCAAGGTCCTTACATAAAAATGACCTCAAGTTCTCCCCAATGTCCTAATATATACTCAAGTTCATCCATGTCAAATTTTAGGCCTTGCAGAGGAAGTTTGGTCAGTCAATTGCTCAAGAGGTCCAAAAATCGACTATGTTAGGGCAAAAGTCAACTGTGACCTACAAATAGTCAAACTTCAAGATTTTTTGTCAACATTCTCATTTTGAAGTATATTTCATCATTTGATCAAGGGTTGATAATGATTCATCAAGGATTGCTCAAAATTCATCAAGATTCAAAAGTTGCTAAATTAGGGTTTTATAGGAAAAGTCAACTCAACTTTGACCAAGCATAACTTTCTCATACTTTATGAGAAATGACCCATCCAAAGCTCATTTTGAATAGGATGCAATTTCCTACAATCCATATTCATACCCCAAGATCAAGAAATGCACTCACAAGAAGTTACAAATTTGGACATTATAGGTCATTTTTGAAAGTCAACAAAAACACCTTTTTTTCCAAAGCTTATAACTTGAGCATGGAATATAAAAATGATATGAGACCAAAAGGGTTGGTTATAAGACATCTCAAGCTTTCTAAAAAGTCCAAGAACACCTCCAAAAGTTCAAAATTGAAGAAGTTATACATTGTTGAAGTTGGGCATTTTTCTAAAATTGCCAAAAGTCAACTATCCCCAAAACATCAAATTTTGTCAAATGGGCCCACTTTTTTCCACTTGATTTGATCTTGTCACACTACACACGTGTCCTATCTTCAGTATTGTATCCATTTATTGATTTTTCTATTTTATTTGACTTTTATTGAATTAATTCATTTTAAATCAATTTAAATCCAAATAAAATTCAAATATTGATCACTTGGAATCTTTTTGATTGATATAGGTCTTAAATATCATCATGAACATAATCAAATCCGAATCAAGCCATATCATGAACAAAAAGGTGGTTTTTGGACAAATTTAGAAGCTTTTTCATGGAGGATCAAATCAAATCCTAAATCATCAATGCATAAGGATTAAAAGCCCAAAACTTGACCTAATTCATTCCATATTACTTATACAAGGCAAAGGCACGAGCATCAGAACCTAGAGGCTGCAGAATCACAAGAACAAAACTTGGAAAATTGCCAAAAAAGCTTGAAACTGAAATCAGTCTTAGAGGCCAATTCAGAACCAAAACTCAACGTGAGTTAATTGCTGGACATCCACTGAGTCTGTAGCAATCAAAAGCAAATCCATTCACCTCCTCAATCGCGTTGTAAGTCTCCTAAAAAACGCCCATGTACTCGAAATTGCATACTCATATTCCTGCGTTTTCTTGGCAAAATCGTTACACAATCATGATTATCGTTCTATTTAGAAGCTTTTTGCATCATTGAATTGCATTTTCATGGCCTGTAACCCCCTAGCCGATTCTAGGGTTCTTGGTTCTTGTTTTTTGGGCATTTTAATTGCAGGCAAAATTGATGCTAATAATGGACATGGACGTAATCAGTGGAAGAAGATGAGTACAACCATGTACTTGGAATTGATTTTCGTGGCCTAGAACTAGTTTTAGGAATGAGCTATGAATTTAGCTGCGGATAAAAATCCGCAGGTAAATAACCAGGTCCAACGAAGAAGACGCTGACGTGTCTCCCTCCCATTGGTTGTTTCGAACGTTGTGCGCTTTTTATTTTTTTTCTGGTCCAATGATTTGTCTTTATTTTATTATTATTAATTCCTAATACACTAACAAATGGAAAGCAGTGGCGCAGTGGTAGACGTGTTGTTCAAAGACAATCTTAAAACAACTAGAAAAAATGACAGAAGAAAAAAAAGAGGGGGTTATAACTTTAGAGATTAATTTGAATGTTCCTTCCGATCTCTACGCATTTCATCGCTCCACCGAAAATTCCCTCTGCCCCTACCGTACTCTAGCTTGGTAGTTTTCACCGCCTGTCCAGGGTTGAGCCCTGGGATTTGACAGAGAACTTAAAAAGCCACCTACAGACGCTTTACGCCCAATCATTTCGGATAACGCTTGCATCCTCTGTCTTACCGCGGCTGCTGGCATAGAGTTAGCCGATGCTTATTCCCCGGATACAGTCATTTTTTCTTCTCCGGGAAAAAAAGTTCATGACCTGTAGGCCTTCTACCTCCACGCGGCATTGCTAGCCAAATCTGATGGTCATGAATGAATGTCCATCATGCTCTCAAGTCAACCAGCGCGTGGAGAATCAGAAGGTCAACCCAGGCTTACACGTTAATGGGCCTGGAAAATTGCAATTCTCACCCTTGATCTGGGCCCAAACCCCCTTGGTTATTTCTTTTTTTCTTTCTATTTCCTTTATTTATTTTATTTAATTGCTTAATTAATTATTTTTATTATTTAAACTAACCAATTAAAATCTTTTCCTCATAAAATCTAAACACAAAATATATTTTATTTATTAAAATTAAATTCAACACTTTATTTTTGTAAATAAAATTAATTCAATTAACTTAGTTTTAATTAGGTATAACTTTTAATATTTTTGCAATAATTAAAATTAATGTAGAATATTAGGTTTTACTAACTTTGACCAAATTTATTTTATTTCCTTAAATATAAAAAAATCCAAAAATATCTTTTTTTAATTAATTAATTGATTTATTTAATTAGCTTAACTTAATTTCTTTTTAAAAATAACAAAAAATGCTTTCTTTCAAAAAGGGTCAAAACCCTAAAAAATGCGCCCGATTTAATTTTCCCGCATGCGATCCATTTATGATATTGATGTAATTGTTTCCCGGAATGTAATAGTTTTAATAGGACTTTAATTTATTTATCGCTTTATTTATTTTCCGCATTTTAAATTCAAGGGTTTGTTTTTAGCGATGTAAATACTTGACGCCTTGTAATAGTTAGATTTAATTTCCGCAATTTAATTTCCGCAATTTAATTTCCGCAATCTATAAACTGTTAGATGTTTGGTAATAGGGAATGCATGACAAGATCGAATGTATGAACTTAAAATCAACATAGCTCACCCATGACATGTACAAAGATAAAATTAACCGAAACAACACACTCGCACATGCGCACTCTTAGGATACACCTCACTTGGTTGCCTTCGAACGTGGTCATTGAGTATAGGAAGTTTTAGAGGTCGCCCTCTTATCCAAAGATCATAGTTGCCTCGAAACGGTTGCCTCGGAAAAATGATCTAAGACATTAGGGTTACCGCTAAGGCGTCCTAACATTGCTTTAGTGACCACACGTCCCTTAATCGAATTGACCCTTAAAATTCCAACGACGATGCTACCTACTCATCAATAGTGGGATAGCATTGTCTAAAGGATATTAGCACAGATTGATTCCTTTTTCGAGTAGGTAGATGGTTCTTAAGTACTTGCTCTCTCTCAAAACAAAATAAAAACTTTTCGCACTTACACCTTTCAAACAAAAACTCTTTTCAAACCCACAAACACCAAGAAAAGCAAAAATTTGAAAACACTTTGAGCAAGTACCTAAGAGCCCGTGGATAACCACAGATAGAAAGGGTGCTAACACCTTCCCTTTCTATAATTTACCCTCCGAACCCGAGAAACATCTCGAAAAAGGAATTTTTCTGTGCTTTTTTCCTTTCCTTGTTGGATAAAATAAAAGTTGGTGGCGACTCTTGCTTACCGTGACATTTTGCGAAAACAAACGCAAAACGCGAACCAGCATTCCAAAAACATTCAGTTCTCTTCCCACCGTATCACATTTCTCTTCCGACATGAGGCGACATACAATTGGATGACCAGATAACTTTTCACACAAATCGTGGTTATGTAAACCACATATCACATTAAATTTTCATTTGTTATTTGCCAATCGATAACCACACAACTTAAAGGGACGCTCACATTTTTTTGAATCGATTTCATCTCGTTTGAAATTCCGAAGAGGAGGTATATATTCCCACTTCTTTTGCATGTCAATGTCACAAATACACCTCTTCTATTCGAACCATTATCTATAGAACTCCTTGAAATGTGCAACCGAATATACATTTGTTACTATTTAACGAAGATATATTTACGGAATAAAATTTTGTTTGACAATAGAGTGAAACCATTTTTTTCCATTGACGTGTGATGGTGCACTCAGAAATGTATCTTCGAAAATTGAAGGGCATTTTCAATTTCCCATAGAGTTCTTTTTCACCTTATAGGATGTGCTAAGAAATCTCCGTAAAATTTATGAAATTAGTTTTCTGATCTAATTTGTATTTTATGGGATTTATGTAATTTGGAAATCAATCAGAATTCTACAAACAATAAGTACAATTAATCTGTAAGATCAAAATCAATTGAAGTGGCCTAATTTATATGATATGTAGGGTGAAAAAATAATCTAAATTTTTGTGAAAAAATATATGAAGTGGAAAATTAAGCGGAATTAGTTTTCATGATGAAGATTTCTGATACACTTTACAGAAATACATCTTTGAATATATTTTTAATAAAATAGAGATGTCTCACTTGCGTTCGAAGATATGTTTGTAGACACAAAATAATTATGACTTTTTACGTTGGTGGAGAACGGTGAAAAGAGCAACCCTTAATAACATGCTAGTATTCTTTAAACTAAAGATCGGGGGTGTTGGTAGTAAAATAAAGGGTGTTGGTAGTATTGCAGAAGCTAAATTTCACTCTATTTTAGGAAACATTTTCGTAGTTTTGGATTGCAGTGTATCCCCTCCATAAGCATTCTAAAACCAAAAGAGGGTTTATGCAGCAGCAACAACAACACAAAAGAGGTTTATACAAAAGATGAAGCTATTCGAGGTGAAAAAAGCATGGAGCAACCGCGTCAGAATCGGAGCACTCGAATTCGGAAACTTCTCCACAGAAACCCCCGCTCTTCTCTTATCAACTCGCAAAGGCCTCCCTCATTTCACACCTCCCGATCTTCTTCCCTCTCTTCCTTCTCCCGATTCTCATCTCCTTCAAGTTTCGCCGCTCCATTTGTAATAACCGCCACTTTCATCTTCATCATCGCTCTTTCTGAATCTTCTTTTTTCTTCGCATTGCGCATTGTTGATTTTTGTTTGTTTTGTTGTTGTTTTAGTTTGGAAGGACTTTCTCCGGCGACTATAGCGAAAATCGGAGGGATTCATAAATTGATTGGATTGAATGATTATGGAGTTGTTGCTGTTGCTAGGGATTCTGTTCATTCGCTTCCGGAATCTAAGGGAGCTAACAAATTTGGTGCCACTTTTGAGACTCCGTGTGGTAGGTTGTTGGTAAGTTTATTCTGTGTAGTATTAGTATTGACACCTCCCAAGAAAAAGCGTGTTCGTGTCAGAAACCGATACAGACGCCTGACGCCTGTGATTGTTGTTTAACTTCTTTTCATAAGTTATACTAGAGATATGGACATGTCATAAGTTGTTTCCATAAAGATTTCTTAAATGGCCTCACAACTGTTTATACCAGTAGATAAACTCGAATAAGTCAATCCAAACAAGTCTATCTATTTGTACTTCATGAGAAGTTTATTCAAAAATGTAGTATTTACCTGCGATCCGCATTCTTTAGTTTTACGTTTAAATAATGGTGGGGAGAATTTTAATGTATCTTCTGATTCTAATTTTATACGTCCAGGTTAAACCCAAAGATTATCTTGTAATGATTTCTTGCATGAGGCCAAACATATGGGCTACTTTGGCTGATGAAGTACCTGCTTGGGTATCTGATAAAAGGAACAGAACCTCGGTGGATAGAACTTTGAGATGGCTTGATGATTGCTTGGAATTGGATCCGGTAATTGACACTTTATGTTTTTCTTTTCTAGGGATATGAATTGCATTCTTTACGAATTCATGAAAATTTTAGTAGCTGAAAATGCTTGTGGTTTTGCTTCATGTTTGTTGGCAAGATGCAAGAGTGAAGAGACGCAAAATAAGTAGTAAATTCTAAATAGTAATGAATTTGAAAATGTTGTGATCCTAAATCTGTTGAGTTTATATATAGTTTTGTAATCAATAATTAAGGGAAGCCGCTATCACACCTAGGAAGATGAAAAGGATATATGTAGGAAGCCAAACTGCTTCAGTTATTCATCAAAATCAAGACATGTATTTTTGAATGACATGGATTGTCATTATTTAAACTCACCATGTGGGCCAATGGGTGTGGATTGGATATCCTTATCTTGAAATATATTAGAGGATCTCCAGGGAAATAAAAGGCATTGAGAGTGTTGATTTGTTGGAATGTGTGTGTTTCCTTGTTTTATTATCTAAAAAGGAAGTTGTGTAAGGAATGAGATGTGTAAGTATCACCACTCTTATTCATCTCAGTATTGTGTCATTAAACTCTAAGCTTAGTATAATAGTATCAATTTGATATTAGATATTTCGTCCTGTTCTCCTTCAATCTTTTTCAGTTGTATTTAATAAAATTTCCTGTCTATATCGAGCTCTATTAACTAATTCACCGTAATTTGGCCTCTCAAAATTTAGGCTGTTGGATCAGTTTTTGGTGCCATAGTGGGAGGCCCAAGTTTGGATGAAAGGAAGCGATGTGCAGAGGAGGTAGCCAAGCGAAATGTAGCAGGTTTCATTTCTTTAGTTGTTTTTCTGCAAATCATTTAGACCTATTTATGAATAGTTATGTTCATCCATTCCACCCTCATAAGCCATTTTTGTGCAAGTTATTAGACTCACGTAGTTTGTCTATGCAAATCTCTACATTATATTTTAGGCTAGTTATCATATGCACATGCACTGCTTAGTTAGTGGTGCATGAACGGACCAATGGGAAAAATACTGTAGGAAACCAATCCAGCGTAAAATATTCAATAAAAATAAAACCAAACAGATCATCTAGGATACTCTAAATCTAATAAAGATATTATCAGATATTCATCAAATGTTTTGAGAATTTGAGGTAAACTTCTATTGATGAAGTCAACATTGTGACATTTTATGATTTTCCAGCACCCAATTATGTTTTCAATTGTTTTTCTTAATGTATATTTATTTCTTTTATTTCTTCCAACCCAACAGAATACAACCTTGATGACAACCTAAAAACACAAATATTTACTTGTATTCCTTTCATCCATATGATTCAAAATGACTACTATTTATTTTACCATTTGTGGAAACAAGTTTTGGCGGCACATGACTTTCTTTTCAGTAGAAATAATATTTGAATGTAGATTTACCAAAAGGCATATATTTCTAGCTTAGGGAAGGGGTAAGAATTAGAAAACATTTGTACCACAAATCCTAAAAGAGAGTTTCAAACATGGTGGGGATGAACATTTTAATTGTAACTCGAGATAGAAGAGAGTCTCACAAGTGAGGGAAACTCTTACTGCATATATATAGGACATGCAATGTTGTATAAAATTGAATGTTATAAGTGATAGGGCCAACAAAAGTAAACTCTATTGCAAAAATGAGAATGTTAAGATAGATGACTTGACACCAATGTTGTCAATTGTGGATCGCGTAAATTGCGATTTGTTCAAATTCTGGTATCCAACAGTGCTATAGCATCATTATTTCACTATTTTTGTACTGAATAGTGTATCACAAAACAATAGTGATTTATTCAAATTCTGCTGTTCAATAGTGCTATACTGCCGCTATTTAACAACACAGCTGAATCATAGAACAATATAGGATTATGAATGAGATCATCAAACAGAAAAATAGAGTTGCACTTATTGCCGGCTTGTAAAAAGAGCTCCGTCGAAGCATCAATAATGTGGGTTAGATTAGATGGAGTATGATCCAATAGTTTGAGTTGGAGGAGGATCAAGGAAAACTATAGGCTAATTCATTAAGAAGGATTTGGACTTAAATGAATAATTATTAGACATGATATATAGTATCATGGTGTTGTTTAACCCTGGTAGCTTACTCGTAATAGACTTTGGTTGTTACGTTGTGTTGTTTTCTCTTTATGTTATGTGATACATTTGAGACCTATAAAGGCCTATGTTTTGTTTAGATATGGTTACAGAACTCTGGTTATTCATGTAGGTTATTGGATTGGTGGATTTAGTCTTGGAGAGGCTATTGATGAGCGACCTGCTCTTCTACGTGCTATTGTTGTAAGTGCAATTTGTAGTACTTGTTCAATTCATTAAAATATTATTCAAATTGGATTTAATTTAATGAGTGATAGATAGATGCTGAAATTATAACAAAACTAAAAAAAGCTCCTTTATAGCTCTACTCAGGCAACAGAGATATAAAAACTAAAACCTATAACTGCAACAATTAGATATAAAAACTTTTGACGGAATTTTACCCAGAATTTTATGCTTTTAGGAGAGTTAGTCCTCGACATATTTATAACTTTTGATATAACAAAGTTACCTTATTCTCAGGATGTCTTGCCAGATGAAAAGCCGCGCATGATCTGTGGTCTGGGACTCCCAGGTATACAACTATGCAATTCTTCATGTTTAGTGGCCTGCTTTGCTCAATGAATGTGTTTATTCTTTTATTTCTATGTGCTTATCTTATCATCTGCCCGTGTACTTCATCTGTTATCTTCCTAATCATTTTCTTTTCTCGAGTTAGAAAAGTATAATTCACTGGCCTCAATCATCTAACTTTTTTTGGCTAATAATTCATTGATAATGAATTTATCACATGTCATGAACCGCCTAATCGAATCAACTGGAGTTATATCATGCATGATTAAGAACATTGTCATGACGATGGTTAAATCATATACTAGCTCCGCCCCTAAATATAAGACTTTCTTACATGTTCCTTATTATAGGACCCTTTTCGAAATTTCATATGCATTAATAATTTCTTTACTATCATGCCCCTAATTGTGTTACATCTTTTTTGCAACTTCCAATAAATATTATAGGGAAACAAAAACCTATTGTCTCTGTTGAAGAATAAACTTGTAAAACAATACCAATTGTCAACAAATTTAATACTATCACCAACACTGTTAGTTCCCATGATTTAGTCAATTGAATCTTATATTTAGGAACGAAGGCTAGAAGCGCGGGCAATGCACATGCTAACTTTGACTGTGCCGAAAATCATTTTTTTATTAGATGATGGGGTGGTTAAGGGTGTGAACTCAAGATCATTTGGTCATATAGGCTGTGACATTATATCATGCAAAATATACATGACTGCTTTGATATGATATCTGGAACACTATTGAGTACACTTTTGATTAAGTGAATATATATAAAATTGTTGCACATAAAAACTTATTATAACTTTGCAGAGGAGATCTTGCAGGGGATTGCTGCTGGAATTGATCTTTTTGACTCATCGTAAGTACCTATTTCCAATTTTCATATATATATATATATATATATATATATATATATACCTGGTGCATTATTCATGGGAAATTTGGATGGTTTTTGTGATTACTCATAGATACATCTATACCCTTACACTTGGAGGATTTGCGCTAACCTTTTCACTGGACAAGAATGGGAATCAAGATAATTTTGAGCCAAGTCAGATGGGAAGTGACTCGAGTAAAATTAATTTGCGAGCGACAGTTTATAGGTAACATAATCATTTTAACTGCTGTTTGTACTTCTCAAATTCAATCGTATGATACTGGGTTGATGTATTAGTCCAGATTTTACTAAACTTTGATAGAAAATTTCATAAACTTTGATAGAAAATTTCAAAACATGGTTTTAGTAAACTGCAGGGTAAATTTCAAAACATGGTTATAAACAATAATGATTTCAAATGTGCTGAAATTGGATCTTTTAACTCTCAAAGCTAGTGATTTTGGTTGTGTGAATACTAAATTTTATGACTGTGGTTATAAACCTAAGAGTTAATGCCTTCATAGTAATACAGAAAACAATTTTTATTACCTTCACCATTTCCTTCACAAAATATAGTCCAAAGGAAATATGATTAAAGCAAAGGTTTTTTTTTGTTGTTGTAATGATTATGAAAATAAATGAACTGAAGATGAAAACTGAAAATAAACCCAGCAGCGACACCACCTTATTTACTAATTCATCTGCTTGTGTTTCATTGCAGAAAAGACATGTCCCCAATTTTAGGAGTCTGCACCTGTCATACATGCCAGAACTATACAAAAGCATACATCAATCACCTATTCAATACTCATGAAATGCTGGCACAAACTCTGCTAGAAATGTATGATTTTCTTTGCTTCAAATCTTCAATGATACTCTTGATTAAATATATGACACCGACGCGTGCTGCGTACTCTTGGTTAAATGTAGGACACCAACACATGTGTGAGCGTGCATGCATAACAACCATAATTACATTTCTACTTTTTAATATGAGTATTAATATTGTTATGATGAATATTGCAGCCACAATACACACCACTATCTTAGGTTCTTTCGAGTGATAAGAGAAGCAATCCAAGAAGGGAGGTTTGAGGAATATCGACAGACATTCATCGAAAGCAGGCGCGAGCATTATGAAAGAGTTGCGGACTCTGAAGGTGTAGGGTGGTGTGACAGAATCTCGCAGTTAGTTTTTAAGTGCTGTGGGAATTGACTGACATTATTCTGGTGAGAACGTATGTATCTTTGGGTTCATAGAAGTTTTAGAGTAAAAATAGGGCATAGAAGTTCTGACAAAGGTCTATTACATAGTCTACGTTAGGTTCAGACTAGATTTTTTTTTATTTATTTAAAAATTATAAGGTCAAAATTTTGTAAGGGAGTTGCTATTTGTACCTTCCCAATTTTTCTTAATACTACTCCCACTCTTTGCCTAAATGTATTTATTTTTTCTTGTTCTCTTCTTTTGCAGTATATGTCAGGATTGTTTCATTATTTGTCTCCAAATTAATTTCTGGATGAAAAAAGCAATGTTTTAAAACTCATACCGGTGATTGACTCGGTAAAGTTACTGGGTTACTGGTCGGACCAGTGTGTCACTGGTTAGACCGCATGACTTTTGACCCGGTTTCTATAAAAAATATATTCATTATCTGAAATTTGTAACTATAATAGTATAGAAAATTATAAATTCAAATAATTTAGAATAAACAAAAGTATTAGCAACAATCAAAATAAGTGATAGAAATTTAATGTAGCAAACTATAAATTCAAAGAAGTGATAGAAACTTAACAATTCATAAGTTAGTATTATAATAAGTCACAAAAATCTATACCCAACCATCCATAATTGCATATTGAAAAACATTAATGCAAATTAGACCAAGTAAAAGAGAAATAATTTGTTTTTGATGTTTTGATGAAATTTTTGACGGCAATCAGGAATATCAAATAACAGCAGCAAGTGAGAGTTTTTGTTGGTAGAGAAAATTGAGAAGGCAAAGCGTTAATATTAATTTTTTTTTCAAAAGTCCTAAAAAATAAAATAAATAGTCAAACCCGCCGGTTCAGTAAAAACCGTCAATTCACTGGTTTAACCGGTGATCCGGCCGGTTCATACCGGTTTCATCCGGTCTAAATGTAATTTTGGTCTTATCCCTTAATCGGACCGTCTGACCCACCAGTTCTCGGTCAGACCAGTCCGACCGGCCGGGTCGGGTTGGGTTTTAAAATACCGGAAAAAGTGTTTCAAATACTAGGAAAATTAACTTTTGAAATACACACCTTTACGCCCAAAAGTCTGTTTCCCTAGGATAAAAAATTGCAAATAAATGTTACTCTTTCTGGCTCTCATGTGACTCGTTTGTTTGTGTAGATGAAAAATTATTCTAGCTCATACTCTCTTGGTGTTCAAGCATTAATATTTAACAAACACCCTTATTGCTGACATATTTTCTGCATTCTGTTTTTTCAATAGACAAAGGAAAAAAGATATAACGGCTTCATGATAGCTGAAGGGAAACAATATATAGGATAAGTAAGTTACATCTAAACACGGGAGAGAAAAATCATCATCATAACCTCTTGAAACTATAGCATCAACATAAGCACCAGCTTCTCTAAGAATGTTTAACATAAACGAGCAATAAGCAATGAATGGGCTTTAAAGATAGGTTGACTCAAGGCTTAATCTCGAGCCTACTTCTTAAAACCATAGCATCAACATAAACATCAGTTTCTCTAGGAATGTTTAAGATAAACCAGCAATAAGCAATGGATGATGAGCTTTAAAAATAGCCAGGCTCAAGGCTTAATCTCGAGCCAACTTGATTCCAGAAAATAAATGATTAAGTTTCTTTTAGCATAGTATTACTGGATTCAAATCCAGTCATGGGCACACAGTAGTATTAAATCTCGTTTGCCGCATATTATGATCCTACAAGAATCAAAGAATTAATCTATACAGTTGCGCGCAGAGAATGCTCAGTTTATACCCAAAAAATATTACAAAAGAATCATTTCAAGAATTTCCCCCTTGGTCTCAAATGATTCCTCCTTTGTTAATAATGTTTATGTCTTCAAAGTTGTCTGTGAAAGCACTTCTAAGAGGATGTATAATTTCCTTTGGTCATAATTTAAACAGATTAAAAAACTTAGTCCAAATACTCTTTACTTATCAAGGGGATTGTTCAAATACTCTTTACTCATACAACATACCGAAATTTAAGTAATCTTCGATTTTGGTATAATACACAAGAAGTCCTCTTTGAAATATGTCAAGGTAGAGTTAAACAAACTCTAAATTTTTGTATAATAAATTATTAAGATTGAACTTCGAACGCGTCTAACACATCACATCTATGTCCAGCCTCAGAACCACACAATTTAAAAATATACTGAATTTTAATGTCAGAATTTCTTACAAAGATTAGAATATGAACACTATGTTTAAGTATTTGTGCATTTTCCTCTTCCTTCTCATTTTTATTTATGCAAACAGAGAAAATCAGAGAACTTCTTCTCATTTGCATTCTCAGAGTTTGTTAAGCATTCTTAGAGCTTCCATTCATTGTATTGAAATTTTGCATGTCTATACTCCACTACATCGCACGTATATGAAGTTCTACTTCATTACATTGATGAGTTACTCATTCTCTTTTCTTTTTTGATTTCACATGCATGCATTACCTAAATCGTTTGTAGGTATGATACATTAGGCTTAAATGTAATATATATGTCACTTTTATTTGTCTTTACTTTGAAATTTTGAACGTTAGAGCTTAGGTTTCGTGCATGTCATATTTCTGCTTTGTGTTTCTGGTTTAGTGCAATCAAAATTTTGAAATCTGAATCCTTAGTCTGGAGAACAAAATTCAGAATTACATGTTTTATGTTTTTTTGGATTGGTTAGTTTTTGTGCTTGTTCTGCTTCGTTGTTTTTTGTTTATGTATTTTGTTATGACATGTCTTTGTGTTTGTTTTATAGAAGAAGAAAAGTTTGACAATCAAGAAAGATTGAGACATAGTAAAGTGACCCAACATGCTTCCTTTCACAGGAAGAAAGCTATACCTTCACAACCACCAATTCAAGAGACTTTGTTTACTAGTGAAGGGTCATCTTTCTGGGTTCATGTATCTCTGACATTGTCTTTCTGGATTCATGTGTCCCTTGATACCCCAGATGCCTTGGATGCCCAAATGCCTCAGATGATATTGTGGTTGATGGTTTCTTAGAAAGCCCATAAGATCTTTTATTGTTTCATGTGTATCCAAACCATGTTGCTAGACACGCATGAGAGGAATATGTAGCACAAATCTTTAATTACTCTTTTAAATATTTGTATTATAATATTTAAACTATTTGATTATGTATTTATTTTTTTAGTACCGTGATACGTTAAAATGTATCAATTAAGGTAGGAAGGCTACAAATTTGGTGCAACATGACGAGCCATGGTTTTAGGATGTCATGCAACTATCTGTGATGCATAATTTATGCATGATATGATATGGTTATATTAACTATGAGTTATTGTATGCTTTTATGGGAGAGATGACACAAAAAGACGTCATTTCATCTTTCGATCGGTGAGATGTCCATGATACTTGATGATGTATCATGCCTCTTACATCTTTCTATCAAGGAAAAAATATTAAACTACTTCATAATCAGTAGACATGAGGCACTAGACATGATTGTGACTTATTTGGGAGCTAACACGGGAAAAGTCCAACATGAGATAAATTACACTAGATGATGTCATGCTATCTAGGTTTTCATTTCTGGTGGATGCGTATGAACAACACATGACTATAGGTGTGAATGTTGATGGTGCAGATGTATGGGTTGCATACCACAAAGTATGTGCATTCAAGTCATAACTATTGGTTTTGGTCAACACGTCCATGTATATGGACAAAAGTGCGACCTATTTCGACATTATCTACCTTAGATATTTCATTGATTTAGAGAGGACTCGTGAGTAAAACTGATTAGTTTCTTATTTGGTGTACCTCTATTCCAAGTTAGCTGAGGGTATTTTATGGAAGACTCAATAATTGATAGCAAATAAACTATTTATTTAACGTAATTTTTTCACCCTTACTAATATTAATTTCACACCACTTTTTGAAGGTAGATAAAAACACAAGAAATGAGGGTTTGAATTGGGTTTTCAAAAATTTCCCCTTTTAAAAACTATTTGATTAAATCTATGAAAGAATATAGAATGCTAGAAATATAAAGAGACGCATTCAGTTTATCCAAGTTCACCCTTAACTAGGCTACGTCTTGTCCATCCTCCTCGGATGATTTTGCCTTAAACAAGGACTTAACCCACTAATTTCACCAGATTACAGATACATGAGCTTCACGCCGGTGACTAACAACAATAATAATCTTTACTCTTTCTGAAGTTTAGAAGTTTACTCAACATCATTAGGTGGTGTATTTTGTCGATTGGTTACATGTTGTCTTGGATCGTGTTGACACCGCAATGAGTTTCCTATTCATCTTCTTTTTCCCTATGTATCATTTCAATAGTGGGTTTTATATGTATATCTTTACTCTTTATGTATGTACATTTGTTGATCATGGGATTGTATGAAATCTCCTTTACAAATTAATACTAGTGTTTGTTCTTGATTTTTGCTTTATTGCAGAGTTTTGGTTTGTCGTAGATATATGCTTTATGAATCTTTTTCTTGAATGAATATTCATTAGGTCCTAGACTCTAGACATATATGTAGGTTTAATATTCATGTGGGTATCAGTTATGAAATACATTTGGGTTGTTTGAGTTGCACGTGAAATCGCCTCCGAGAGCAATACGGGTGATGTCTCACTTTGTGCTAGAGATAGTCTTAGTGTGAGAGATACATGATGGTATTGACAAGTGATTTAGGTTGCGTGCAATGGATCCGTAAGTTTAAGTATTTGACGGGTAGAATGAAATGTGATTCCATAATGAATTTTTTTAGGCTAGAGATGATTGTTTATCGCTTTCTTTATTGCTTTATTTACTTTTCCTGCACTTTTTCCGCAAACCCTTTTTCAAACTTAGAAGGATTGAAACTGTTGAACGTTAGTTTTTCCCTCTCACTAAATCCTATGGAGACAATATGATATAACCTATATCACCCTTATAAAAATACTTACTTTTGCTTGCCGCTTTATCGCTCCAGCAAAATGGCGTCGTTGTCAGGGATTGATGTTGATATTAATTACATCGCGATAGTTTTGCTTTCTATGTTTCGTAAATATGTTTATATCGTACATTTGTACATCTTTTACATGCTTGTTCATTTGTATATAGTATACTTGTTTTGTTTCACGTTTGCCAAGTGTTGTTAGATGTGTAGTTCCGGTTAGAGCTTGAAGAGATTTGAGCGAAGGCGGGAGTGAAGCGTTTGCCTCGTCCAAAGAAACATGTTGGTTTTTAAATAATAGGCTTCGAGCTTACGACGTAAAACAAGCATGTTTTATCGTTTTTGTTTCGTTGTTACTTTTTCATTCTAGCTTAGGTAGTACGGTGAACATTCATTAAACAAGTTGTACTCAGATTGTTCGTCAAATTCTCAAATCTTCACTTTACAACTTGTTTCATCAATTTTCACCCATTCTTTTAGTATATTTATATTAGTTGTTTTATGTTGTTATTCTTTGTGATTTTCTGCAAGCTTGTCGTGTTTAACTTGTGGAAGTGTGTATGTGTTGTGAATACTGTTTAGATGTGTAAATGAAAATAGTGTAGGTGATTGTGGAGGTTGCTTTTGGATTGCAAGATTGTTGTCCTATTTTTCTGCTATTGCTGTAGCGCACTTAGCGCGTGTTTTGGCGCTTAGCGCACTCTACTGTGATCAGCCAATGAAGTCTTTTTGTTTCACTGGGCTATCTTTTTTCCCACTTTCACCAATGTCTTGTAGTAGTAATTAACATTAGTATTCTTTTTCTAATTATTTTGTTTATTGTTTGGACTCTAATTTTGGTCCAGTAACTTGAAGAATTTTGAGGTGATTTTTCCCGAGTTTGAGTGTTTTAACTTGCGAATATATGATAATGATAGTTTTCAAAGTTGGTACACGTCAGATACTCGTTTATCGCTTTCTATAGCATAACATGTTTAAGAAACTTTTCATTTGTGTAATTACTATACCATTCATTATTTTTGTATTACTTACTTTTGATTGAATCACTTTAGTTCCCTTTTTATCCATAAATGTGATGAAGCTTTCCATTGTTCATATATGTTGAGGGCCACAATTCTTGTTTTAGTTGGATTTTATTATGTTTAATCTTTTGTTTATGTTGATTATATGATTGCATGAAAGTGATCAAGGCATTTTGTTTCATTTTGAGCACAACTATATTGACCAAATAGTCAATTCACCTTGTGAGTGTGTGATCATTAGTAACCCCTTTGAACTTTTTTGTCGATGTCCATGTTGTTTTTGCTAAATACTTGTCTATAATTGTTTGGTTCATCTTTTTGTATGGATATGGATTTTTTGTTTTCTTGAACTCTCAACCATGATTTATGATTTGAATTTTTACCTTGCCTTAGAAAGTAGGGAGTATTCACATTATGATATGGTTGAATTCAAGTTGGGGAGAGATATGTTTATGTGCTTATGTTGTGATTGTTATAAGGTTATGAAAAGAGAAAGAAAAGAAAAAGAAAGAAACAAAATTAAAAAAGATTTGAAAAAAGAAAAAGAAAAAGAGTTTGAATAATTGTGTGAATAAGTATTGTGATTGGTTTGAGAAATTTGGAATGAAGAAGAAGTTTGATTGAAATTGTGTTGCTTGAGTCTTTGTAAGTTGATCACTCCCTTAAGTTAAGACAAATTTTTGTTTCGATTAGCTTTATGACTTATCATTTATTTGTTAACCAAGCCGTATTACAACCTTGAAAAATCCTTGTGATTCTTGCCTTTGTATTTTCAATATGAGTTTTTGGATAAATGCATAATTTAGTCTATTGTTTGCAAGATTGTGAATGCATGTTTTTTATTCCTCACCTTTGTGTGTTATTCATCCATCAATGGATTTTTGCTAGGTGTGATTCATGATTAACTTTGTTTTATTTTAGAATGTTTAGTATGATTTTTGTACTTAGGATTCGTTTCGTTTATATGTTGTCATTGTAGTATTGTGGTAAGTATTTACTTTACTTGTACGTTTTTATTTGAACCATACATTTGTTTTTCATTTTAAAAACTTGTTGATTCATGATTGTTTGGTTTGTTACTTTTGTTCTTCGAGTTGTTTGGCCTTGTTTGAGGACAAACAAATTCAAGTTTGGGAGAGTTTGATAAGTGTAAAAATATCATTATTTTGTGTATATAATTTGTGGCACTTATTGGTTCTTTGTTAATATTCTTTGAATAATTCACCGCTTTGTGTGTAAATATGTATACTTTGCATATTATTATGTTTTCGATTCATTTATGTATTGTTTGATAGTTTTAATGTATTTTTGTAGGTATTTTTGCGTATTTGGAGCATCGAGGAATAATGTGTCGAAGGCACGACTCTCGATAAATATTTTTGGTCAAAATAAAGAAATAAAGAGGCTTCAGGTCACACTTACTGCGCTCTCAGTGTGGGTTCTAGAGCACATGCAGAGGTGAGCACACTTAGCGTGATATTTGGCGCTTAGTGCGCTCTAAGGTGGTTTTGTGAATAAATGAAGTCGTGCTTAGCGTAGTTTTTGGGGCTAAGCGTGGTCTGCGATTTTCAGTTTTTGTATAAATAACTTAGAACAATTTTCTAGGGTTTTTATCATCCCTTTCCCCCTTAGAAGAGCTCTGATCCAATTTTTTGTAGCTTAGAGGTATATCCAACATCGTTGGATGGTGCATCTTGCCGATTAGTTATGGGTTGTCTCGGATCGTGTTGACACCATGAGACGTTTCTTATTCACCTCCTTTTTCCCTATGTATCATTTTAATGGTGGATTTTATATGTATATCTTTACTCTTTATGTATGTACATTTGTTGATCATGGGATTGTATGAAATCTCCTTTACAAATTAATACCGATGTTTATTCTTGATTTTTGCTTTATTGTGGAGTTTTAATTTGTCGTAGACATTAGATTTAGACTTAATATTCACGTGGATATCGGTTATAAAATACATCCAAATTATATGAGTTGCACGCGAAATCGTCTCTAAGAACAATAGAGATGATGTCTCACTTTGCATTAGGGGTGTGCATGAATCAATAACCAAACCAAATTGAACCATATATATGATTTGGTTTGGATCTTAAAACTACTTCATTAAAACTGGTTTATATTTCTAAAATCGGTTTACATGTGGATCGATTTGGTTTTGAACCAGTTTCTCACAAAAACCAGTTTTTAAAAAGAAACCAATTTTAAACTGATTTTTCTAAAAACCAGTTTTTAATTTTCTTTAAAAAATCGATTTCAAAACCAGTTTTATAAAAAATCAATTTCAAAATCAATTTTAAGAATCTTTACTTAATGTTTTCTAATTTGAATTCATCTTCTGATACATCCTTCTAAAATATAACCTTAGAACTTTTACTTCTTAAATGGTGAAAAATTAAAATTGAAATGAGTACTTGTATACAAAACTTGTATGGAATTTAATGCTTAAAAGTTGTATTTTTTACAGCATTTTTCAGTGCACCCTTGATTGCTGATGAAGTTGGATTGATGGCCTTTCGTATCTTAAAGACATTCCAAGCAGTGTTAGCAGCATGTCCTGCAGTTGCAAACACATGCTCAGTAGCTTCCCCAGCATTTTCCCCAAACCTGTTGTTCCCCAAGTATGATAGATGTATAAAAATGTAAATAATAATGTATTTATGACCAAGGCTTATCTGTTAGCAACAACAAAAGTATATTCCTTATAAGATTGAGTCCTCCCTTTACCTGTTAGAGACCATTCTTGATGCAGCTTTTGAGGTAGCAGAAAGAGTTTGTTTTTCAGCAAATTCAATAACACAAACAAAACTGGTTTTAAGAAGTGGGTAATCAAAAAAGGATCATAGTGAGCGCTACCCATGAAGCCATTGTTGAGAAGAAGAAAAGGAATTGCCCAAGGGAATTGAATGTAGAGTTGACGATTTAGAGTTGACATTTGTGACGGCAAACAAAACGTTTATGGCGGTGACGACAGAGGAATAGGCGGTAGCGGCAGAGGAATAAGCAGCGGCCGCTTGAGTTTGAATGGTTAAGTAATTGAAGATTGTTGCAGTCAGTAAAAGAGAGTTTTGAGAGTGTTTCAAATGTGGTAACCGATAGACTGATCCAAATTGATTAATGGTTTCCAGTTTTTTTTTTTTTTTGATAAATAGACCACCAATTTTAAAATATAATTTTGTATTGGATTTTGATATATGGATTAATATGGATACAAATTTGGATTATGGTTATTGTTTTTTTGCACACCCCTACTTTGCATTAAAAATAATCTTAATATGAATGATATATAATGATATTTAGTATTTGTTAATATTTTGTCAGGAAAGTAAAAAAAAAAGCAATCACTTATTTATTTAAAATAATTTAAAATGAATTTATCCCACGAGTATCGTTAAAAAATGAAAAGTAGCTGAAGTAATGACTGTTTGATTTCTGTGTTCTTTCTTCTTCCGCCGCGTGCAGTGACGCAATTTTGACGATCTCACCTCTATCTGTAAGTCCATGTGTTGCCTCTCATTCATTCAGTTTCACATTCTCCGACGTAACTTTTTTCAGTTTTTTATTACATTTAACAAGTGTTTCATTCTCTATGGTGATAGTTTGAAAAAAAGCGAATTGGTTGATTGTAACATGCGTGATTGTTTTCTTGATTCCAAACAAACCTTTGATCGGGAGAATGTTAGTGCTATGTAGTTGATTCTTAGATGGTTATGTGAAATGGAAATAATGTATTAGGGTTTGGGAGGGATATTAACAAAACTAGTAAATATCAACTACATAGAGGTGAAGTCAGCTGTTAAAAACCTAAGTCCTCAAGTATTGTGTAAGCAGGTGGTTATGGCATCTTCAGCAGCCTTGCGGCTAAACAATCTTCGAAGACACTTGGATTTGGATTTAGATCACACTGCCAACAAGGTCCGCAATATGAATTTCTCATATTTGTTGCAAATCTTTTTATGAACTTACAAGTTATGTTGTTCCGTTTCGAAAACCCTTACATTCATTCGTGTCTCAATGTAGTGAAAATTTGAAACATGATTTATAAGCAATGTGTAACACAGGTTTGATATGCAGGCTGCAGGAGTCAATTCTGTCGGAGCATCGCTCAACGTGAAGGTAGCTCAAGAGGTTTCTGAAGCGTTATCACTAGGGCGTGCAGTTGTCGCTCTGGAATCTACCATTATTTCACATGGTTTTCTTTTTCTTTTTATTTATTTTTTGTATTTTCCTTTTCATGTCTAATGCCTGCATGTTAATTTTTTGTCTATGCTCTTTTTTTTAGGGATGCCGTATCCCCAAAATTTGGAAACTGCAAAAGCAGTTGAAGCTATTGTGAGAGAGAATGGCGCGGTTCCTGCAACTATTGCAATTTTAGACGGCGTGCCTCGCATAGGTATTTATCATCATCTTTTATCATTCATTTTAAGCACAAGTCATTTGATCTAATAAGAATGATGCAGTGCTTTCACTTAACTACTTGTGGATTTCCTTCGCATGTTTTTCTAGTGGATATAGCATATGATGTCAATACTCAATTCTATTTTAATTGTTCTCTTTATTCCTACATATTGGTATTGGATTTGAAATGGATGCTTGCTTGCAACTATGCTGCAAAGTGGGTGAAAAAGAAATTCTAGAAACATTCACCTCATGTGTTCACAAACTCTAAAAGAAACTTAAATTTCATCCCATTTTGACTTTGCTGCTGCAATGATGGCGAATATTTATTGTATCTTTTTGTTTGAATTTGACAAATTTTCTGCCGTTTACTTGTTTTATTTGAATAGGTTTAAGTGGGGAAGAGCTTGAAAGGTTAGCTATTTTGGGAACCAAAGCACAGAAAACAGCTAGAAGGGATATTGCATATGTTGTGAGTGCTTTGGGTATCACCATAGACTATATTTATGTATATGTCGATATGAATGTTCTTAGCAATAACAATTTTCTGGCCTTCTAGCCAAAGAAGTAGAAAAATATACTTATTCATGGTTGTTCACTGTTTCACTATGATTTTTTACATACTGATAGTAATTGATCTGCTTTTTTAGGTGGCTAGAGGTGGAAATGGTGCTACTACTGTTTCTGGCACAATGTTCTTGGCGTCCATGGTAATTTTCCATATATTGTGTCCATAGTTTCTTAACGTGATCTGTTTCATGATCAGTGATATTACATCAATTTGGTTTCACAGTCTGCACTTCTTAAAATTTTCTGCAGGTTGGCATTCATATTTTTGTGACTGGTGGGATGGGGGGAGTGCACAGGCAAGGGGAATATAGTACGTTAACCTCCTATATCTTACAAATAGAAACAATTGGTTTTCACAATGAATGCTGACAAATCTAGTAAGATGCAACATGTTCTGGTCTAAATTTTCGAACCAAATGAATCAACCTTTGCATATTTTATTTTTTGTTTTTGCCTCAAAGGGACAACAATTTGTAAGATAAAGAAGAAAAGGGATATATGGCCAGCCAAGCATGTATTTAGTCCCTATAAAAGCAAAATAGGGACCAAATTTGGACTAAACTCATATAGAGACTAAACTCGAAAAACTGTGAGTTTTATAGGAATTAAAAACATATTTAACCTCAAGTTATACAAAAGGAACCAATATATGGTGGAAATTTATGTTGTAATATGATATTTTCTTGTAACCCTCTTGAAACTTCAGAACTGAAAATGTTGTTTTTATTTTTTAATGGGATTCACAGAAATAGGACTTGTATTTTTATTGAGCATATCTTTTTCATTTTTCTTTGGGCAGCTATGGACATATCTTCAGATCTCACCCATCTTGGAAGAACACCAATAGCAGTTATATGTGCTGGTGTAAAGTCAATATTGGATATCCCTAGGACCCTTGAATATCTGGTATGAAATTATTTTGTGATAATATTACTGAAGTAATTCTGCTTGCTTTATGGGCCAAAGCTTATATTCACTGTTTTTTTTTTTATCATGAATAGGAAACACAAGGAGTTTGTGTAGCTGCTTACAAGACCAATGAGTTTCCTGCCTTTTTCACCGCATCAAGCGGCTGCATGGTACTTTAAATTTTGGCATACCTAATACTTTCGAAAGCTTGCTGTATACTTTAAGTAAAACCAAACATTGTTTGATCATGGCATTAATTTCCAGGTTCCATGCCGGGTAGATACCCCCGAAGAATGTGCTTCCTTAATAGGCAAGGGAAACATTGTTATTCATTTTCATTTTCTATGTAAATTTATGTTACCTATCTGATTTTCTTCTAATTTTTATTCATCTGGCAGAAGCAAACACCAAACTCAAGCTTGGATCTGGAATCTTGATAGGAGTTCCTATTCCTCAAGAGCACTCAACATCTGGACATATAATTGAATCTGCCATCAAGAAAGCCCTTGAAGAAGCAAAGTTTGCTCTCTCGTTTTCTTTCTGTTTTCTTATAACATTTTGCATTTTGTACATTAATGTCGCTTATTGACTGGTTCGTACTATAATGCTTTCATGATAATTGATATATTTAGTATTAATTTCACTAAAACTAAAGTTAATATGTGCCATTTATAGGGAAAATAATATATCAGGAAACGCCATAACTCCTTTCTTGCTCGATAGAGTAAATGCACTCACTGGAGGTGTCTCACTTGCTTCAAGTATCCTCTTTTGAAGTTTTTCAACAATACATTATCATAACATCAGAAGCTATGAAAATATTATTTGTTGATATGATTTCAGATCTTGTTCGAATTAAATATTTTACCTAGCGTTGAAGAATATCTTAACCATATTTAGACATTGCTCTTGTGAAAAATAATGCCCAACTTGGGGCTAAAGTTGCCGTCGCCCTTGCTCTGCTAAGAGAAAACAATCAAAGGTGAGTTTATACTTTCTTGATTTATGTTGACCAGTTAAGCAAGTATATTTTATGGATGAAACCGATCCTTACCAAAGTAAAATATGAATGTTCCTTTGCTGATAATTCAACTCACTCATGTTTACAGGAAACAAGAGACAGAATAGCACACTAGAAGAGATCTTGAAGAAAATGTTTTATTAGTTTGCATGGCTGGGATTAAGAAATTTTGTGGACATAAATTTATTTAACAGAAGTGTTAATCAGTATCTCTTTCTCTTGCACCATGTTTGGCTTTGGAAAGAAACATAGAGGAATAAAGAGTGGAAAATAGGGAGGGTTTCAATTGTTTGGCAATGGAAAGAATATTTTAAAAATTGTCTCCCTTTATTTCATTGTATAGAAAGTGAGAGGGAAAATTCGGATTGTAAAATGACATAAATATTGCTCCTTTCATTCCAAAATAACTAACCTAGCAAAAAAAAAAAAAACCTTTCTAAAATGATAAATCCGTTTTAAATTTTAATACAACAATAATTATAATATATTTTTTATCTTCCATTTTTTTATTCATAATTTTCATCTAATTAATATTACTTGCAACACTTTTAATTAAATATCTTTCATTTTGGTATATATGGTAAAAGTAAATACACTAATAAATAATTGAATGCTACCTAAGTAAAGTACTAATCTTTTTCTCTCTTTCGTTCATGTAGTTCTTTTTAATTTGCGTAAATTAGTCAATTTTTTAAAATAAATTATTGATTTATAGGTATCAATTATTTGTGTTTATATAGTACTCCCTCTATCTTAGGTGTCTTCTTTGCAACGTTTTTTTCTTCAAGTTATGTGTCGTTTTAAAATAACAGTATGATCTCTCCACCTCATATTCCTTGTAGTAATTAATCATTTCTGTTATGGACTGGGCCCGACAGGCCCAAAAGCATTACTAAAGCCCAGTCCAAAGGGACTCACTAAGGACCACACTGGGCAAAGGGGGCCACGTCCATGCCCGACACCCTGATGTCCACCTCGACATCTCGGTGTCCAGCCCTACGATGAAGTCCTGCTCGACATCATGCCATCCAGCTGTCCTGGCTTCCTGCTCGACACTCACCGTCCAGCTCGAGGTCTTGGCGTCGAGCTCGGCACCGTGCTGCGCAGCTCGACATGATCACGAGCTAACTTGCTAGGGCAGACTTAGTCCTCTTGCCCCAACGATACTCCGGAAAGACCGCGTCTCCGTCCGCCCGCACTTCATGCAGCATATCCAGGAAGGGGACCACGTGCTGGTCCCCACTACCCACGTAGAACCTGGCAGTTCCTCCATTGGGCCAAATCCGCCCGGCCCAATGAAGGAACCTTGACCCAGCGCTGGGGGCTATAAATACCCTCTGTTTCCAGAGGGTCAGGTAATCATCAATTTCTAACCTCAACTCTATTATCTGCTAGTACTCCCACTGACTTAAGCATCGGAGTGCCTTGCAGGTACCCCCCCTCCTCGTTCAAAAAGCCTTCAGCTCGGAGCAGCCGTGACGGTCCAAACCTTCTGATCAGGTCAGATCAGTGGCGCCGTCTGTGGGAAACAGCTTCCCCGTCTAACGAACAGTTTTCAAAGACCAAAGCTCAATCCATTCACTGTCATGGCCTCTCCAACTCGTGAAGAACATACTCGCGTCCTCGACGCCAACAACGGTCCCGCGGACAAGAATGGGCACCTGGACAATTCCAGTGGTGCCGGCCACAATGCCGTCCCCGTGACAACCGCCCCTGGACCTTCCACCCGCAGGGACGGGAACACTGCATCCTCCTCGACAACTCCTCCAGGACTCGAAGACGATCCGGAGGCTCTCGCCTATCGCCAGGCTGCCCGGTTCTATGAAGTCCAAGCCCCTGCCGGGGCAGATGCCACGGCTCAGGCACTGTTCGCGGCCATCAACCAGACGAACTATCTCCTGTTCGCGCAAGGAGAAAGACTTAGGGCACTGGAGAATGACCGACGCCCCCCGAGGAGACACCAAAGGCCACCATCTCCACTTCCTCGGGTCGAAGAAGTTCGACACCCTACTCCCCCGCGGAGACATCACAGGGAAAACTCTAGGAGCCCCTCTCCCGCACCAAAGCAGAGGCGGCCCCAGTATGAAAGACAGCCCGTCATTCCTGCCGAAGAACCCGTTCGCGACCCATCAAGGCACGACCGGGGGCACAACAGAGACGGGCGTGTGACCTTCCATCACCGAACATCACGTTCGAGGGAATCCCAGCACGAGCAACGTGCCCGACACAACTACAGGACCCTTTCTCTTTCTCCAGAAAGGAGCGACGAGGACGACCCCCGCGGTCCCCTGTCGCAGGCAATCATGGACGCACCTATCCCCCCGGGCATGGAGAAGCCCCCGCACCTAAAGGAGTATGATGGAGTGGCGGACCCAGTCGACCACATTGACGGGTTCGAAGCCATGCTCCACTATCACAATGTCGGGGGGCCCATCAAGTGCCGTCTCTTCCCAACAACTCTCAGGAAGGCGGCCATGGACTGGTACAAGGGACTTGCCCCGGGCTCCATCACCTCGTGGCGGAACTTGAAAAACCAGTTCATCAGTTCCTTCACGGCGTCTCGTCGCCACCCAAAGACTGAGGCAGCCCTCGAGGCCATCATTCAAAGGCATGATGAGACCTTGAGGGAATTCATCAACCGCTTCAACCGGGAAGCAATACAGGTCCCCTGCGCGGACCACATGAAGAGGTATTTGCTGGAGAGGGGCCTCCTCCCCGGCACCGAATTCAGGAAAGCTGTAGGCATCGAGCCACCTGCAACTTTTGATGCTCTCCTCGACAAAGCCCGAGCATATATGGACTACGAGGAGAGAGAAGCTGCCAACAGGGCACGAGACTCCAGGGCTCGCAACCACGGCAGCAGCTCAAGACAAGACCCTCCTCCCCGACGCACCGGAGAGAAGAGGAAGGAAGACAGACCCCGGGAGGCCCGGGAACAAAGGGGCCCCTCGGGCAGGTTTACTGAGTACACTCCGCTCACGGCTTCCCGCGAGCGTATTCTGGCGGAGTGTGCAAGCACAGATTTTAAAGACGGTGGCGTCAAGCGTCCCCGACCAGCTCCTGCCAAGCCAGGAGTCGACAAAAACAAATACTGTCAGTACCATAGAAGTCATGGTCACTTGACAGAGGACTGCGTCCACCTGAAGGATGCTATTGAAACCCTCATTAAAGGGGGAAGACTGGCACAGTACAGGAGAAACGACGCTCACCGTCGTGAAGCCCACGAGGCAAAGGAGCCCGAAGAAGATGCCCGGCCATCTGACGAGTCGGTGCCAATCCAGACCGCCTTCTCGGTAACCAGGCCCGAGGATTTTGAACTGCCCGAGCTCCTGCAGGAGCCCCTGACTACGCACAGCAGGTGGGAATATTTCCCCTCCGCCATGGTCATCAACGGGGGCGGGTTCAGCGACCTCACCATCAACTCAGCCAAGAGGAAGTTGGACGAACTGGTCGACAAAGCTCCTCCTCAAACTGTGACTTTTGAAATGGTGAGGGGCAGATCAGAGCCTATCACATTCTACTTGGAAGAGCTCCCCGGCGGAGCACCGAACACAGTCATCCCCTTGCTGATAAGGGCAAAGATGGCCAATTTTGATGTGCATCGCATCCTGGTCGACGAAGGGAGTTCCGTCGACGTGATGTACACTCAGCTTTTCCGGACCTTACAACTGGACGACTCACATCTGTCTCCATATATAGGTTCGAACCTTCAAGGCTTCAACGGCTCGACGTCCAAACCTTGGGGATATGTCGAGCTCCTTGTGACATTCGGGGAAGGAACTGCTACAAGACAGGTGAAGGTCCGCTTCCTCGTCATTGACTGCCCATCCCTGTACAATTGCATCCTGGGGAGGCCGACATTGGCGGAACTGACAGCGGTCCCCTCAACTGTCCACCTAAAGATGAAGTTCTATACCAAGAGGGGGAGGGTAGCCACCATCCAGGGCGACCTCGCTGCTGCCCGCCGGTGCTTCAACGCCGCTTCAAGGGGTCGGGATACTGTCGACGTGGGTCCCAGCACTAGGCCCATCAAGAAGACAAAGCAAGAGCCCGACAGAGCATCTCCTGAGGTAGAAGTTCAGAAGGCTCCACCAAAGGTCGACTCCATTGCGCTCGACGCCCGTTTTGACCAAGACGAACCGGCCAGCAGCGAGAAAATCCCCCTCCGACCTATCCCGGACGGAGATTTCGAACTCGTTCCCCTCGGAGGAGACCCGACCAAGGGAGTGAAGATCGGCAAAGACCTCCCCGACTTGGCCAGGAAGCAAATCAAGGCCTGTCTGCGCGAGAATGCTGATCTCTTCGCCTGGAGCGCCGCAGAGATGCCCGGACTCGACCCTGAGGTCGCCTGTCATCACCTCGCCATTGATCCAGCCGCCAAGGCAGTAGTACAACGTAGGCGTAGGCAGTCTCCAGAAAAAACGGAGGCTGCTGAAAAAGCTGTAAAAGACCTCTTAGAGGCAAATTTTATTTCTGAAGCCCGGTATTCCACCTGGCTGTCAAATGTTGTACTTGTCAAAAAGAATAATGGAAAATGGCGTATGTGTGTTGATTATACCGATCTCAATCGGGCTTGCCCGAAAGATGCTTTTCCTCTACCGAACATTGATATGCTGGTCGACAACTCGGCCGGCTACAAAACTTTGTCGTTCATGGACGCTTACTCGGGATACAATCAAATCCCAATGGCTCCGGGCGACAAACGCTGCACGGCGTTCATGACCAGCTCGGGCAACTATTACTACAACGTAATGCCCTTCGGACTAAAGAACGCCGGCGCGACGTACCAACGCATGATGAACAAAGTGTTCAACAAACAGATAGGCGACATGCTCGAGGTATACATGGACGACATGATCGTCAAATCTCGAGCAGACACCGATCATGCAGCTCATCTCAAGACTGTCCTCGCCCAAGCAAGACAATGCAAAATGAGGTTCAACCCGGAGAAGTGCACATTTGGGGTTAAGGCAGGAAAGTTCCTCGGATTCTACCTAACAGAACGAGGCATTGAAGCAAACCCCGACAAGTGCCGAGCATTCGCCGACCTCCCGACTCCAACGTCGAAGAAGTCGATACAGATAATGAACGGCATGTTGACATCACT